ACTGCACCAGGCCTCCTCTATTTTTCCATGTGATATTTCCTTTTGTCACGGTCCCCACTTTGATTTGCTTGTAACAACATTGCACGCGGAGCCAGAGAGGAGCTTCCCTGCAAAAACCTTCCCGAACTTTGGTTCTGTTCTGGTCTGCCTTTTTGACTCTGGTACTTAAACCATTCACCAGCTTGGTCTTTACAGTTCTAAAAGCGTTGAACTGTCCCTTAAAGCTCATACAGGGCATCACCTGGCAGTGTTTATAGAGAAATGCTTGTTTAGAAAGGGGAACATAACAGGTTGAATGTTGTAAACATAATTTCATGATTTTTAAAAAATTTTGAGCATTACTTTCACTGACTTTAAACTTATTAAATGTTTTTTGTTTAAAAAGCAGGGGGAGGGGCCGGCCTAGTGGTGCAAGCGGTTAAGCGCACTCTGCTGCGGAGGCCCAGGGTTCGCCGGTTCGGATCCCGGGCGCGCACCGACGCACTGCTTGGCAAGCCATGCTGTGGCAGCGTCCCATATAAAGTGGAAGAAGATGGGCATGGATGTTAGCCCAGGGCCAGTCTTCCTCCGCAAAAAGAGGAGGATTGGCAGATGTTAGCACAGGGCCGATCTTCCTCACAAAAAAAAGCAGGGGGAGACACGGCTCTAGTGAAATTCACAACTGACTAGCAATTTCATGAATAAATTTCTTCAGAACTGACAATTATATATATATTATACATATATACACATACACATATTTTTCTTTATGTCTCTATATCTACATCTACGTCTACATCTATAATTATAGACAAATTAGCAGCAAATATTTAAATGCCATAGAGAGCAGGCAGTGTGTTCAGTGCTTCCCATGTAAAATCTCATTTAATTCAACAATCATTTGAGAAAAGGATCATTTGTCACCCGACTTACAGACCAAGAAAATGTTTCCTCCTCTAGTCTTTTTTTTTTTTTTGGTCAGGAAGATTAGCCCTAACATCTGATGCCAATCCTCCTCTTTTTGCTGAGGAAGATTGGCCCTGGGCTAACATCCGTGCCCATCTTCCTCTACTTTATATGGGACACCGCCACAGCATGGCTTGATAAGTGGTGTGTAGGTCCACGCCTGGGATCCGAACCTGCGAACCCCAGGCAACTGAAGCGGAGCACACGAACTTAACCACTATGCCACCAGGCCGGCCCTTCCTCTAGTCTTAATTTATAAATCCATAAGAGTCTCTGTCCCTTTCCAAGGACATCATGCTGAGGATTGTCACTTGCAAGGGATACAGGCAAGATTCAACAAAGTGTCCTCAACTAAGGAATTAGAGGAAGAGAAAGAGCCTAAAAAGACACAACCCAAAAGGAGGCAGTGTCTGAGCCACAGGAGGAAAAATCACTTACCTGCACATGTATTTTAAGCCTAATTCTGTCACTGAGCTGCTACATACCCTAGGGTTCAGCTTCGCAAACAAGAAGAAATCCACTGCCTTTTATTTCAAAGGTCCCGAGAGGATGGCAGGGCCTGCTGGAGTTTCCAAATGATTGACATTGCCCGTCCTCATAGCCACTGTCTTCTCCAGCACCTCATGTGACCTCTGAGATAGGACTAGGAGGCAATTTTGAGGAGCCCATCAAAACCCCAGAAACCCTGAGGAAAAGAGGACACAAGAAGGGCCCCATTCCAGAATGTCACTAAAGACGTAGACGGCTTCTGCAGTCCCTGCCAACCAAGTCACTTCAAGGCTTCCTGAGCATGAAATGTGAGAGAAGATAAACTTTGCTTTCATCTTTAAAAACATCGAAAAATAAATAACATCAAAATGCAGGCTGGAAGAGGGCTCCAACGTGCATACATAAGTAATGGTGCATTAATCAATTCCACTGGGTTGCTCAAGCTCACTAGACTTCATTTGGTATAAAATTGGGGAGATGGGATTAGAGATGAACCAAGCATCCCAGCCAGAAAAAATCTCCATCCCTTTGCATCACTCGGTAGCGCTTCTTTCCTGTCTCAGCCAAGAGGAAAGAGAGGGAATTCATCAATTTCTCAACCCCTCCACTCCATGAGGCTCCACGGGGGCTTCTTGGCTGTCTCGGCCATTTTAGAAGTGGCAAAGCCAGGCCAATTAATTGAAGTTAAGTATCTTGTTCTAGAAAACCCCATAAGGTGTTATGTATCTTGATCCATGATCTGAGTGGTATCTTCTCAGCTATTAAATTCTTAGGAAAACACTTCACATCCACTAGGATGGCTATAATAAAAAATACGGATAATAACAAGTGTTAGTGAGGATATGGAGAAATTTGAACCCTCATACGTTGCTAGTGGGAATGTAAAATAGTGCAATAGCTTTGGAAAACAGTCTGCAGTTCCTCAGAAGTTTAAACACAGAGTAACCATATTACCCAGAAATTCCACTGCGAGGCATACACCCAGGAGAAATGAAAATATATGACTACACTTGTAGTCTTGTACATGAATGTGCCTAGCAGCACCGTTCCTAATAGCCAAAAAGTGGAAACAACCAAAATGTCCATCAACTGATGCATGGATAAACAAAATGTGTTCTATATCCACACAATGGAATATGACTTGGCAATAAAAAAGGAATGAATACTGAGATATGCTACAACATGGATGAATCTTGAAAACATTATGCTTTCAGACACAAAAAGCCATATATCATATGATTCCACTTATATGAAATGGCTAGAATAGGCGAATCCATAGACAGAAAACAGATTGGTGGTTGCTGGGGCTGGGGGAGGGGAAATGGGGAGTGACTGCTAATTGGTCCAGGGCTTCTTTTTGGAGTGATGAAAATGTTCTGGAATTAGATGGTGGTGATGGTTGCACAACCTTGTGAATATACTAACAAAATCACAAATATACAAAAAAAAATTCTCAGGGAGAAGAAAACTAATACTGAGTACAGTCTGCCAGAGCTGAGCTAGTCTCCTACAGGTAGCCCTCATGGTGAGACCACAAGGCTGGTGATAGCCAGTTTTACAACTGAGGAAATGAAGGTCCAGATAGAATCCATGACTTTCCCAACATCACTCAGCTCTAAGAAATAAACCAATCCAATTCTGTCCCAATCCACCATCCATCATCTTTCTCCTGTTCTGTGTAAGGCTGCAGTCTTGTTTTTTTTGGCCATTTCCCAGCCACATGACTCAGGAACCTCAAGCCGAGCCTCAAGTTCCTAATCTGCAATAGCAGTGATCTCTGTACCCTGCCCTTCTAGGGCCTCAATTATACGGTACAAGCCAGCAGCCCAACTTCTTGTCTCCAGAATGGTGGTGTGGTCCTCAATCCACAGCTGTTCAAGTCTGTCCGATGTTTTACTGGTTAACTGCACATTTTAGTTTTCTGTGTGTGGGATCAAGGAACTTCCCACAAGATCTATGGAGGGAAGCTCTGCGGATGGAGGAGCTGAGTAGTGGATAAGGGCGCCCGGTCCCAAGGGAATCCACTGAGCTCTTCTGAAAGCCCTACTTCTCCACCCTGCTCCTCTATCCTCCCCATCCTGCCTAAGCCACCACCAGTTGGACTTTCTATGGTAGCCTCTTGAATATGTCCTTCCCACTGGGAGATAGCACGGCCAGGCACTACCCCTTCCCCACCAAGATGCCTGAGACTCTTAGTTCTTTGCAAATGAACTGATCTCACATCTCAATGACAGTCACACTGTGGTTCAACTAATTCCCATTGCTTTCCTTAGGTCTAGGAGAGAAAGGCCAAAAGACCCAGGACTCCTATCAAGCCCTGCCTCTGTCTAATTGGGGCAGGTCTCAAAAGAGAAGTATTTCCTGTCTTTCTCACAGATCGTATACCACCTTCTTTCCCTTGATGACAAATCTCTCTCTCCAAATAATTCTAAAACTAAAAGGGCCAAAAGCTAGTATAGGATTATAACCTACATTGTCTACTAAAAAGCCATAAACTGCCCCTTTAGTCTCCAAAGTATAGAACATGCACCATTGATCTTCACAGGGAAGAACCAGCATGGATGTGGAGCCCCAGCAGGTCCTTCCTCCAGCCTGGCCAAGGGGATCGCATGGGTTAAAATGCCCTGAGGGCTGCAGCATCATCATCCTGTACGTTTAGGATTGAAGGCTGCTTTCACATATCTTATTTTCTTAAATCCCATTCTTTTGTGGGATTATAACCTTGCTCTACTGATAAGAAACGGTAGCACAAGAGGTTGACAAATGCAGAACAGGACTGCAGGCCACTCTCTTGATGCCTGGTGAGACCCCTGCTCTACCACTCAAGGCCTCAAACACAACCAAGACCAACGATGGCGCTTTTTAACCCATGGCCGCATAAGGTTCTGAGAGCATGGCTGAGGTTCAGGAGAAGTCAGGCTATTGCATCTCCCTTTCCTGGCGTGGAGGCTGGCAAACAGATCTAATGAAACCTTAAGAGTCAGAGATTTGCACTTGCTAACAGGCGAAACACAATTTCCCTCTCCAGATTGTTGGTGGCATGGAAATAAGTAAAATTATTTTAAAATGTGTTCACGTTGTCTTTTTGAAATTTTGAAGCAAATTCTACTCTCTGTACATCACAAGGAAGCCAGCCTAAAAGGCTTCAAGGTCCCCAGATCTTCTGAACATCTCCCCTCTCAGTACCTCCCATCCTTAGAACACCTCCTCGTTTGCAAAGCCCTCGCCCATGTCATTCCTCATCATTTGCTCCTCTGGGAGCAGCCGGGGCCCAGAAAGGAACACAGACTCCCCGGGGACCCCAAGAAGCACCTGAGCCAGGGCTTGAATAAACCTCTTCTGATTTTCTATTGGATCGACCTGTCCCAGGTACTGCTGGTCCCGGCCAACCCCTCTGGCAAGTCACCTGTTTGTAGCAAACAACAAACCTTCCCAGCTCTGCCTTTTGTGCAATCCCACCAAACAGCACTGAGTCAACACCTCGAAGTACAGGAAACCATTTGGTAAGACACGAGGATTAAAAAGATAAGCTGCATGACATTTATTTTGTCTTGTTAACATTAATATCTGTAGAAACATTTTTATTGTCAGTATAAAAATTAACAGGTTTTATTAAATACTTTCTCCAATTTCGTAACACGTAAAATCAGTGTAATCTGCATTCATGTTGCATGGCTATAAGAAAGTGAGTAGGTGTTTTGAAAGCAAAACACAATACTTTAAAACGGAACGAACAACATGACGATATTCTGTCTGACATTGGTATTAGGCCAGATCTGTTGGTGAGGTCCTGCCAGAATTAGACGGAAGCAATCCCTAAAAAGATGGAAGGATCCCCACAACTATCAGCAGAACGACTCAGTGTTTCAATTTTCTATGATGAGACGTGAAGATCCTAAAAGGCTTCTCCACTGCCAATGAATCTGGAAGCCATTATCAAAATTCAGTGAAGAGAATACAGGCTAATCTGATTAATGTTCAACTCAGGGGCAGAAGGCCAGCTGCCAGAGAGAAGTACATTCTGCTATCCTCTCAACTAAGGTCCATCCTCAAGGAACGGATTAAGGCATCTTTTTTAAGAGGACGCTGGTACCATTTGTCTTGAGAAGTCCAGTTCAACCTTACAGGGGCCCAACGACAGAGCTGCATACCCAAACAAAACACCTTCTTATTAATGGGTTCTTTTAATATGGGCATTTAGATGGTTTAAGAACAATTATCTGACAGCAGAGTTTAAACACAAATAAATCAAAATTTCACTTTCTGCAAATTAGTCACATCCTGTAAATATTTCTTTTCAAAGGATCTGATAACTAGTTAAGTCCAAGCAATCGATTAACTAGTCTGATGCGCTGCCTGCATAGAAATGCCACTTAAATTACAAAAAAACACTATAAATGATTAATTGTTTTGTATATTACCAATTCATTAATAAATTAATGTTACACCATTTTCCCTGAAAGCAAAAGTACTTTTCCACCTCTGCTTGGTGAAAATTAAGAAATTCTGTGTAAGAACAGCATTTAGCAAATAGCTATTAAAAAAACAGAAACCAATTTTCTAGGTGCATTGAGACATCCATTTAAAATCAATACAAAAAATAATTCCTTGTAAATATATAATATATATTTATACATAATTTGAATATATTTACATACATCCAGCACCTATATACTGCAATTGTGCTCTGTAAGTGTGTGCTGACATATATTTTCTCCAATTATTACAAAATTCACAAGGAAGGCAGAACGTATGTTTGCCTTGAGTCCGGCTGGTCCACAGCCAGTACCCACAGTGGGTCATGGGCGCGTGGGGGCCCATGGCAGTTCATTGCCCCAGAAACATTCTTCTTCTCCTGGTGAAGATTACAAGTTCCAACTGTATAAATTCTTTACATGTGTGCCGATTACTTTTCCAATTATTTACTCCTCTGATCCATATATACAAGCGGAGACAAGCTCCTGGAGGCATGGCCTCCTTGCTCAGTGTAGCTAGGTTCCTGGTGCTGTCCTATTTGGGGACAGGCAGACAAGCTCATTCATGTTTTAACACTGCCGTTTATGTGTGGATACTGAGGAAGGCATGGGTCGTAACACAAGAAAACAGAATCATCTCCTGAAGAACATGAACTCCTTGTGTCAGGGTAACTAGGAGAATACTGTTCGAGAGGCTGACTGAGGTCCAAGTATTCCTGAAAGAAGGGAAGAGAGACGTTTTATTTCATCTTGGGTCAGGATAACAAGGTGAATACGGTTCGAGAGGCTGACTGAGGTCCAAGTATTCCTGAAAGAAGGGAAGAGAAGACTTTTATTTCAAACGCAGGCTCTGGAGATGTTGATTTTGGAGTTGGGACAGCCCGGGGGCACCCCTTGAAGGTTCAGAGACCCAAGCCCACCCTGGCTCCCACAAAGACCTCCTTGAGATTCCAACTCTATTAACTCGAGGCTACCTTTAACTTTTCTTTCACAACCCATCACAAATGATTGGCAGGTAGGGAGTGCTAAAACCTAGCTGGACTGTAGGCGCTGGGTGGTCAACTCTGCTTGCACAAATGACCTGCTTGCTCTGTGCCTCCTCGCTGGAGCACACAGTTCAAATCGAGCCCCAGCAAAATGAAAAAATGTAACATGTTGTGGATTCTCAGGCCCCCTTTAAATAGGTGAGACCATGAATATTTATTTTACGAATGACATTTTACTATTGTAGTTTCTAGGATAATTTAAGGGGAATATATCTTCATTCAGCGGGTAATTTCACAGATGTGATTCATTACTCTCAGAAGTTCTCCGAGTTGAAAATGTAAACTGGTTCAAAAAAGGCTTGGATATGCCCGTGTATGTTAAACCTATAATGGGCTGTTAAAAAAAAGTTTAGGAAAATAGAGGTTAAGTTTCAAAGTTTTAAAGGTTTGAAATTCAAAAATGGCTCTTCTGCTTCCTAAAGCATCCATTAGTGTTGCTGTCGGAGAAGAGATGGCCCAACATCCATTTCCTCTGACTTATGACAGGGCGCGAGCCCACTGCCTATTCTTGTATGTCCCAGGAGCTAAGAATGGTGTTTAACATCTTTCAATGGTTGAAAAAAATCAAAAGAAGAAAAATATCTCATGGCATTAAAATTATATAAAATTCACATAAAATGGAAATTTTAGGGTCCATCAAGTTTTATCCAGAACACAGACACATTCATTTACATATTGTCTGTGGCTGCTTTCTCGTCTCAAAGGCAAAGTGGAGTTGTTGTGACAGAAACCGTACAGCCCAAAAAGCTAAAAATATTTACTGAGTGGCCCTTTACGGAAAAGGTTTGCAGACCTCTGCTCTGAAACTATGAAATGATCTCTAAACTGGGGGACTTCTGGGTCTCACTGCCTCGACTGAGCTGCCACGTTGGGGTGGCTCTGCTCACACACCCAGAAGCCAACAACTATTCTATGACACGTGGTTTTGCTGAGAGGGGCCAAAAAGTGCAGACCACAGCACAACCAGCCTCAGCGCTATCAGAAAAGAGCCCACAGAATGTTGGCAACCGTACGTTTTAAAAGACAAAAAAAAAAACCAACCCACTATAATTTATCACCAGGGTTGGCAAGAGAAAGAGTCCCTCTCTGAGAATGGGGGATGTGTCAGTTCCAACAACATCAGCATTAACCGCACAACTGGAAACAAACACGCCCACCACATCAAAAGAGAACTTTTTGCTTACAATGATAAAAATGAAATTTTGTCCTAAATGGAACCATTTTTCTCGAGCATATGGTAATGATTTTCAGAAGGAAAGAAACTTCGATTTTTATATCCGTTAGACAACATGGCATTCTGCTTTTTTATTTTAGGATACTAGATGTAAATTTCAGTCTGAACGGGCCCACTTTAAATGTAAATATATAAATAAATAGCATTGAGCATGGACATAGGATCGTTAAAATGGGACTTTAGTGCTTTTCCTAAATGAAGCTATAAATGTTTGGATCTGATAGGGAAAAAGTAGGGATATCAGTGGATTCCAAGTCTAGGGTTAAAAGAACTTATACTGGAAACAACAATTTTGGCAGGAGAAGAAAGTTGTTTTTTTTTTCCCCTTAAACTGTTCCTTTCCTTTCAACTTCTGAAGGTCAGCTGTATTCATTTAAATGCAATCTTTCCCTTTATCAGCCACAGTCAGACACACAAGATAATGTTGCTGGCTTAAGGCTTCATATCACAACATTTGATTATCTTTTTTAAAAAATCACTCTAAAACTATTAAATGTATTATTTAAAAATAAATGCATTATTTTCCCTCTAGAATATCTGGGTGTTTTTAACCTTTTTTGGTGTTGTTAAGACAACTGTGGGGTTTTTTTTTCCTGTTTGAAGGCACACTGCTCTGTAGCTTCATTAAACATCTCAATTCACTCACTAACAATTTCTCTCTCTCACAGGTTTTTTCTGGCCTTGATGGGTTTATCATCTTTCCCGCTCAGATCATACTCTTTCCACGACCACAGAGACCACTCTATCTGCACGCAAAAGCGAATTCAGACAGTGAGCGACAGAAGAGTGCTTCTTTTGTTGGTGTAGATTATAAATATTTTATGGAAAATAAATATTTCAATGAAAGGTACAGGCTTTCACTTAAAAATCGTGTAAGTCATTCATTATAGGAAACTATGTTTACAGACACATGGATGGAGACCACAAGCCACACGCCATTACCAGACAGGGTCATGTAGGACTGTGTCATGTGTTATTAGAAGCTAGAATCGCAGAACTTCATGGCATCTGATCAACCTCATGGGCCACAGGACACCAGCAGCTCACACATTGTACAGGGCACAGAGTCCCACCAGCACTAAAACTCACGCTCCTTCCCAGGCAAATCCAAACGCTGCAGCTGGACAATTCTTTCCTCTCCCCACACACACAGACACACACACACCCTGGACCCACCACTGAAAAGCCACAGGGAGGGGTGGCCTCAAGTAGGGCCCCCAGTCTTTGGTTTCCTAAGTCAGAACTCTCAAAATATAGTTCTGAGAAAAATCAAGATTTGGGAGGAACACACAGTTTAACTCTGTCTGACCCCTGTGGAAAAATGATCAACTGAACCACAGACTCCAGCAAGGGAGACTGCATTTAGAAAGCTGTGCTGGTCTCCCGAGCAAGGACCGCAAGCTTTGGGACGGAGGTTCCTACCTCATTGGTTGTGAGAGTGAGAATTCGGTCCAAGTCTTCCACCAACTGCTTGAACGTCGGTCTCTGGGAGGGCACTGCATGCCAACAGTCCCTCATCATCATGTACCTGGAAGAAATGGGTTTCCCTGGTGAGTTAATTTCCTAAGCACTAGGTACACGGCTACTAGCCAGTGTTAATAGGCAATATGGAGATCCATCCTAAATTACGAAAATGTATCACAGCTTTCCAAGCAACTAAATTAGGAGGTGGTTATTCATTTTCCCAGAAGATTGACTGCTTGGTTCCTCTGAAAGGCACTTTGATTTACAAAAGCATCACTTTACCCAAAATGTTTTAGGAAGGTAGCTACACCATCAGGAAAGACACTTCTATATGCTTTCACTGCTGGCTTCTGGCAGCCCTGCAGCAGTGTCACATCACAGTGGTACCCCTCTTTCACGGCACTTCTGGATATTGCAGGAAGAGCCACACAGCAGCAGGCGGGTCTCCAGTCTTCCCTCCCCACACGCCCCTGCCGGGACCAGAGCAGCTCCACTTTTACCTGCCTGACACTTTGGGTTTTGTTCGAACTATTCTACTGGACAAAGGTTCCTCAGTTTAAAAAAATGAAGTTTGAAAACCACAACTTTAAGGTAAGGTTTTTATGAATTAATCTGCCACCCTGGGCTGCACATTAACTTCCTGATTAACTCTTGGAGAGGCCCAGGTTCCCAGGCCTTATCTTGATTATGGGTTTCGACAGACCCTCTGCATTAGAAAAAGCAATAGGAATGACAGGAGCACAATAAATGCCTTTATATAATAGACTATAAAATGTGGCCATTCATCAGACGTCCACTGTACAGCGAAAAGCACTCATGGGATTACTGATATAAAATCCCCATGAAGCGACACACAATAGACCGTAGTCTCCGGGACAATCACGCTTCTTAGTTAATTCTGGGGGGCTGGGAGGAGAGACTCCTTTTCAAAGCACTGATCTTACTGCACAAACGCATGTCACAAACATAACATAATTCCACTTAAAGTGTGGGGTTGGTTTTTCTAGAAACCAGCTCAAGGTTTTATAGGCAGATCTGGTGCTCTAAGGATGGCACCGGGACAAATTTTTAATCTCTGGGTAAACTATAGGTAACCAGACACTAGATCATTTACTCTGAGGAAACGTGGTCGAGGTCAATCTAGGATAGCAATTTTCAGTGGTCGCAAAGATGCTGCAGAAGCACCCACCCTTCACACACTGTCCTGGGGCCAAGCACAGCCAGTGAGGAAAGGCTGTGTCAGTTCTTTAATCCTACCCTCTGCGAGGGCAGCCCCCCGGTTTTCTAGCTTGTGTATGGAAGGCCAGAGGTGTCTTCCTGTCACTCTGAGGAGACAAGAGCAAGGCACAGCACAGTGGCCCAAGAAGACCACCCCACTCGCTCTGTGAAGTCAGGAGCCCTAGGCCAGGCAGCCTGACACCCTCTGTGATTTAAAGCCCATTCCATACACCTCAGAATGATGTTCCCTCATTTGGACAGTCATGGCTGTCAGTGTAGCTATCTATCTCAGTTCTGGGATTGAGCCCAGAAAGCTTCAGCAATCCTTCTTCTTAGAGCACGTTTAGAAAATCAGGGGCCTCAGAAAACCGAAATAAGTCAGGAAAAGGGTTACTGGCATGGTGGGTCCACCACGGCATCAGGAGAGACAACGGCCCTTACAGTTCGTTGGTGCAGTTTGCCGGCTTGTCCATCCTGTGTCCTTCCTTAAGCAGCTTAAAAAGTTCCTCCACGGGAATCCCTGGGTAAGGCGAGCCCCCTAACGTGAAGATCTCCCACATCAACACCCCGAAGGACCAGCTGCAAAGAAGGGAGAAAACAACAGCGTCACTAACCGATCTGAATCCAGAAACCTAAACAGATCCAGTTAAGAAAATAAACACCCACTCACTTCTACGTTCAAAGACAAATGACCTGAGGCCTCCTGCAGGTCATCCTAGATGCCCTTCCCGCCCCAAGGAGCATCCCCAAATGATGACGAAGTGGGGATGTCCCGATGGAATCTTCTATCAACAGACAAAAAGGTAAACCATCATTACTCTTTTCTTCTCTTTGGTGGAGATTTGGGGTTGTTGTTTTTTCCATCACTCTCAAATAAAGTTATTCGTCTTAAATGCAGTATTAGCAACGTGAAGATCTCAACTCCTAAGCTTCAAGGCTCTTTATGCTCCTGTCTGACTCGTCCACCGGCCTACAGGCCTGAGCTGGGGCTGTGACCTACCAGTATGGACAGTGGACAGAATAAGGCCAGAAAGCTAACTCTGCAAGGTACCGGCTGCCCAATGCGGCCAGTGGAGCATCTGAGGGCACAAAAGGTGCACAACTTACTAAGGTCATCAAGCCGTTGAGCACTGGGCTGGAATCAGCATGGAGGAATCCTGTGCCCCAGATGAGTTTCATACAACAGAAACTGAAAGCTTCTCACAGGGTACAATTTATGCCTGACCTCACAGAGACCCACAGGTGGACTTTCTGAGCCTCGTTCAGGAGACTCACAATTCTTGGGATAATTAAGCAGAGAATCCTGCATTTACCTATGTCATTGTGGCTTTGGAAATACACCCTTACTGACTCTATTAGGGTGAGTTTCAGAAATGAAACTGTCCCCAGTTTTGTGTGGAGGAAAGGCAGCAGCACTCACAGGAAGTTTGCTCGCTGCAAAAATGGGACTCAATGCCTTCCTTCTAGGACTGCCGAAGAGGACTGCTGTGACAGCACAGAACCAATGCCCACCCCAGAAATCCTCCTGCTCATGCAAATAAAAATAGCTCAACTGGGGCCAGCCCAGTGATGTAGTGATTAAGTTCGTGCACTCTGCTTTGGCATCCCGGGGTTCACAGGTTCGGATCCTGGGCACGGAACTACACACATCGCTATGAAGCCATGCTGTGGCGGCATCCCATATACAAAATAGAGGAAGATGGGCACAGATGTTAGCTCAGGGACAATCTTCCTCAGCAAGAAAAAAAATAGCTCGATTGATTTTTTTTTTTTTTTTTTACTTTTTATTTTAGAATAAATATAGACTCACGGGAACTTGCAAAAACAGTACAGAGAGAGCCTCTGTACCTTTCACCCAGCTTCCCACAATGGTAACCTCTTTCAACCAAATTTCTAAACCTAAAATTCCAAAACACCAGTTGAAGCTTGACCCTGAGAGTATTTTTAAGTGTATCATATTAGAAATATTACATAGTCTTCACTATGTTTCTGTAATGTTATCAAGGATGCTAAGACAAGATCAGAATCTTTTCAAAAGATCAACAGAGTGAGCAGGCCCCAAGATCATATAAGCAGATGGTGTCCTACTCAGCCTTCCCCTAGAAGGACAAACCTGGGATGGGGGAGATAGCAGAAACCACCCTCCAAAAGGAAAAGTTTCAGGATTCCTATTTTAAGGGAGCACAGAACATGCCAACAGCTTGGCACATCAGATAGCAGCTTTGTAGTTGTACGTCGTGAATAAGTTCAAGAGGGGGACTTCCGCTCCGGCAGGAGGCGGCTCGCGGTTCCACCTCCCATGCGCTTTGAAGCCAGGCAGATTAGTAACAGAGCATTGGTTACCAGCCTACCATAAAATCCGTCCTTTCTAAGGTCGGCTCCTGCATCGTCTATGAATGTGTGAAATGCAGCAGGCACCAAAGAATGAAGAAAGGCGAAGAACATCCAATACTATTGCAACTCAACCCAACGGAGAAGCCAGAGAAAAGGGAGTTACTTACACATCACTCTGATGGGTGTACACTCGATCAAAAAGAGCTTCTGGAGCCATCCACTTGACGGGAAGTCGCCCCTGTAGGTGTGGAAGAAATGCAAAAACCAATATATTAAAACCAGTTTACTTTAGCAGGCTCAACAGGGCTGTGCTCTGCTTATTTTAAGAGCTGACACTCATGGTTTTCACTGGTCAGTCATTAGAGCAGAAATAAGCTCCAACAGGGACTACACATAATGTGTGAGAGGCACAGATACGGGCACATTAATAAAACGTTGTTTCCTTGGATTCTCATTATCATCCATCTCCCTAGCACACAGACACACCCTGACCAACTTCTAGGCAAAAACTAACCCAGAAACTCCCAAGCTCTAATCCTTGCTAGGAAAGTTCTTGACAAAGAGTTTTATAAAGATCCTAGAGGCTGCTGATTATTCTATATAAGACTATTTCACATTTACTAAAAGTATCTTAAATATAGCCTAAATTTGCTTATTGAGAAGTTTGTACGGAATAAGGCAAAAGAATAGGAATGAAAGGTAGAGGAATGAGCCCTCATCAGTGCTTCTAGCTCTGAGCAGCTATCATCTTTCTTCTGGAACATTCCACACCACCCCACCCCACCCCACTTCCCGCGGTATCACTGCCATAGACTTACATTTGTGGTCTTTTTGTAATAGTCTATATTGTTGATATCTCTGGCCAGTCCAAAGTCTGCTATTTTCATCACATTGTTTTCTGTTACCAAAACATTTCTGGCTGCTAAATCTCGATGAATACACTGAAATAGAGAAAGAACGCATTTCAAAACGCTTCAAGAATAAAAAGGAAACATACTGCTTACAACGCAGTCAGAAAATACATCTTAAGTCGAAAACTGGCATTTCTTTTCTAATCAAAAATACATAAAAAACCAGGGCCCCAACCATTCCACATTCTCTTTTATCTGCAGTTGACCAACAGCGGCATCCTTCATACACGAGCTGTATAGATAGTCCTAAAATCTTTTATCTCAACACTTGCTCTCCTGCCCTTTACAGCCGAACTCTCAGAAGAGCTGGTTCAACTCCAGCATCACATCTTCTTCACCTCCTGGTCACTTCTCAAACACTCTAACCTATTTCCATCCCTCCCCCCCTGAAGTTTATGAAGAACCTCTTGTCAGACCCAAACAACCTCTTCCAACACCTCAATTTTTCCTCCCTGTAGTTCCGAACACTGTTGACTTTTTGCCCATTTTTGAATACTGTCCCAGCATTGAGTTCTCCCCATCTCTCCTTTTGGCCCACTCTCTCTCTCCCTCTCCCCACCCTCTCAGATTCCTTGGCTAGCTCCTCTCTTCCTCTGTCCCTCAAAATAGAGGAATTGTCCCACTGATTTTATATATTTCCATATATTCTCATGGCTCCAATTCTTAGGTACATACAAAAGATCTGCAAATTCCTATCTCTATGCTGACCTCTCTCCTGGGACCCATGTTCTCATTTTCAACAGGCTATGGGACATTTCCACACTGACATCCTTTGGCTCCTCAAATTCAAGGTCTCTACTTCCCTAATTCTTACCCTCTTGGTCTCTCTCTGTCAGAGGTATACACCAGAATTTTTCATACACTCCTTCCAAGTTCTGTTGATGTCAACCCCCAAGTCCCTCTCCAACTATCCACCTGCTCTGTTCCCACTGCTTAGTGCAGGCCATCATCACTGGCCACCCCCTCCCCGCAGATGGCCACGCCTCCTGCCTCACAGGTCTCCAGGTGTCCAAACTCAGCCCCATTGTATCTCCTACGCTTCCCACGAACTGTTTCTGAGAGAACTGGTCACGTCCTTTCCTGGCTTATATCATGGCCAATGCCCATCTGTCCACAGTCTCAGTCCAGTCCTAGCACAACAGAAGAAGTCCAGTCCTGGCCCACAGAAGGCTCACCCTGTGTCTGCCACACACACAGGGGCTAGATGCTCAAATGCTCCCTATAGGACAGCTGGTCTGTGGTCCTAATACCAACTCTTTGGTCTTGGAAAGTTCTAGTTATTATCACTTCTGTCTTTCCTTTCTATAACTGATATGCTTTTGTAAGCTGTTCTAAGTGTTTTAGTTGCATTTTAATACAGATCTTTATCACAAGAATTTATCATGATATATGGTAATTAGTGTCCCAAATCATCGCCCCCTATTTTTGGAAGAGGTAAGGCATAACAAAGAAGCAAGGCATAAACAATCTAAGCACACGCTTTTAACAGAGGTTCCTGGCAAAGGTCACTATCACATGAAGGACGGAGCCCTAGCCATCCATCGACAAAGGTGACATGGGCTAATCTTAGAGAGCCCTTCACGAAACGGCCAATTCAAAAAGGAGAAGCCAAACGATCTCTGAAGAATAAATTAGCAATTGTTTTTTCTGCCCACCCCCAACTATTCCTCGCTTTCATATGCTCCTGTGGCCCCCTAGATGGGCTAAGAACAGAAGTGGGGAAGCAGGAAAGCCCTGTGCCTGGCCAGACTGGAAGCAGGAAATTCAACAGCTCCCAGAAGCCGCCTGGGGATCGGCCGGGGCGGGAGCCGTGTTCCTGGTTTCGGAGGCCTCTTCAAATTGAACTTCCAAGCCCTGGGCCAAACTCTTCGGCAGTGTGCTCCCTGCTGACACGAGCTCTGTGTGTTTGGCAAGCTGTGTGGTCAGAAGAATCTGGCTTCCCATGCACTGGGCTCCGACCACACATTAGGGCTCCACTCGGACAGACACCCCGACAGCGACCTCTACCACCTTCTCGGCAAAAGCCAGACTCTAGCGCCACCCACCCCCCGCACCCCAGAGTGCCAGGAAACCCCGAAGCCCACCCTCTGGGCTGAACAAGAAGAGACTTGGAACTAATACCCAAGAAAAAGAAAATAATTAAAGTCAAGCCAAATTCCCATCATCGACAGAAATCTGAGCCGTTCTCCAGCACAGAGGGCTGACCATTTTACATGAGCAGGGCCTGGGACTGTTTGCTATTGCATTTTTTTAATAGGTGAAGGTCAATGGGTCACTAAGGGAAGGAAGACTAACACCCCTATGACACAGAGAGTGTGCTGGATGCCTCTGCACAGCTGATCGCATGAAATTCCCATGGCAACATATGAGATGGGTATTACTGTACCCACTTTACAGGCGGGGAGCAGAGGCTTGCTTTAAAAAAAAAAAAACAATAACAAAAAGCAAAAAAACCTGCTCAGGTTTAACACCCTGGAGGTTTAACTAGTTTTGGGATCTTGTAAAAAAAAGAAAAATTAGTGTACCTTGAACTAAAAATAACAAGGCTTTCAAAACTTGTGTAAGGCTCAAATACCCCATTACCTAATTTTTTTTTTGAGTTTTTATTTTTTTATTTTTATTTTTTTCCCCAAAGCCCCAGTAGATAGTTGTATGTCATAGCTGCACATCCTTCTAGTTGCTGTATGTGGGACGCGGCCTCAGCATGGCCAGAGAAGCGGTGCGTCGGTGCGCGCCTGGGATCCGAACCCGGGCCGCCAGTAGCAGACAGCAGCGGAGCGCGCACACCCAACCGCTAAGCCACAGAGCCGGCCCCCCCATTACCTAATTGTATTACTGTATACACCACGGTGTTTCTTTATTTGTGTGCCCCTCCACGCACACACCTGAAAGCTGCTGAGGACAGGCACTGCGTGTTCATCTCTACATCCCCAGCACTGACCACAGAGCCTGACCCAGCAAACATGTATTGAGCTGAATTCACAATCACACGCCATCAGGAATGAGCCAGAGACCTCACTCAACAGCTCCTTAAGCGGCTCTCTAACAAGCTCATCACTACCCACTGAGGGAACGGGGGTGGGGAGGCCAGGATCTGAACCTTTCCCTGCTTCTCCATCCATTCTCCACCCTCAGGAAGAAGCCCTCCATTTTTGGAAGCAGGTTCCTTCCAAGGGAAACATTCTTAAGATCTCCATCTACCACTTCAAACCTGTTCTACGGCCTTAATTGCAGGCGGCTGTCAGCTAGGGGCTCTGGAGCCCTGCAATGCCCTAAGGCAACACACCAGGTCTACCCCACCCTGCCTGCCAGACACAGGGCATCTCATTGGTCCTCCCCTCAGTCCACAGAGAGGAGGGATCACCTGAGAGCAGGAGAGGCTGGGAGCGGGATGGCTGGGTGAAGAACCAAAAGGCCACATCTCGGACCAGCCACTCTGTAGACCTCTAAGTCCCCATCTCAAAAATAAGGAGGGTGACTCAGACACACTCGGGCTCAGAGCTTTCCTGGCACTGGCTAACAGTCTTCAGCATCCTTATTCATGAAGTGGGGATTTAATCACACCTACTTCAGAGCTGTTCTGAGGTTATGGCCATACCGTATGTAAGATGCTAGCCCTGCACCTGGCAGACGTTAAGCTCTCAAAAAGTGACACTGATTAGTAATAAAGATAATTACTATCATCACAACACTATTAATAAGGGTATTTTCAGTCTGTCATCCTAAAAGGGATTCATTCACCCTATTTCAAAAAGTTCTTATTCTTAGTTCTCTCTCCACCACACGGAGTAGCTCCACAACAGGAAGGCTCTCAGAGCCCTCAGGGCTGGGGTGCGCTGCGGGAACCACCACCAGCTCCAGGAGCCAGATCCAACACACTGGCTTCTCTCCTCATTCTGAGCAGAATGACACACAGCTGACCACTCCCGTCTTCCTGAAGCTCCTCTGTGGCCTCTGTGAACACAGCCTGGGTTTCCTCCCGTCTCTGACTGTGTCTCAGCCTCCACTGCCATTTCCTGTGCTTTTAGCCAATCTCTAGATTTGAGAGTGTTCTTGGGGTTTGACTCCAAGCTTCCATTTCCCCTCTTCTCTGCCTACTCCCCCTACCATGTCCTGGTCCATGGCTTGAAATTACACCTTCCTTTGCAGGCTCCCAACGTGTGGCCCCGCCCTCAGGGCTGAGCTTCAGCCTGCAGCTTCCTGCTCGACATCTGCCCTTGAATGACTCTCAGACGTGTTCAAGACGCACCTTGGATTTTCCACCAAAATCTATTTCTGCCATCCTCATCCCCCAACCTCCTCCTAAAGTCTTCCTCATTCTGGTAAACTGCACCATCATCCAATTTCTCAAGCTGGAAATTCTTGATCCTTCTTTCTCTTCTTCCTATATCTAGTCAATCCATTAACTATCCTGATAGCCAAACATCCAAACATCTCCGAAATCAATCTACTTCTCTAGGGTCTTGGAGCCAATCACCCCAGCCCAACCACCACTGCCTTTCCCAGGACTCAGAGCTTCCCACCAGCCATGCGGGGATCAGCAGCAAGAGTGACCTTGAGAGCACAAACCTGATCATGTTACTCCTCTCAGTGACTTCCTAACGTGCCGAGAGCGTGGTCCAGCGTCCTTGCTGGGTCTGCAGGGCCCTGAAGGAGCAGGGCTTGTCTCTCTCCAGCCACATCTCACACCCTCCTCTCCACACGCTGTTTCCCTCCCTAGAAACTCTGCACAGCTCATCCCTGTGCTCACCGCCACCTTCCCTCCCTGACCACCCGCGTCCCCACTGCTCCTCACCCACACCCCATTTCCTCCACGGCACGTGTCTCAGCTTTTCACATACTTATTTTCGTCCCCACATTTATTGTTGATCTCCCCTGCTGTCACCCATGGTTCCTGCTCCAAGAGGTCAAAGACGATGTCTGTTCCAGCCACCTCATATGGAAGCCTGACCTAGGGTGGGAGCATCAGAATCAGGAATGCTCAGGAATGTTCATTAAGGGATTAACAAAATGACCAGGCCAGCCTCCTACCACTTTGGTATTAGCAGCAGCGCCCTGCTGAGTCCAAAAATGCTTCCCCCTCTCCCACAGAGGGAGGGCACAGAGTAACCAAGACCAGAGGGTCAGAACAGGCAGTCTGCAGACAGGCCACACTCTGCAGTGTTTTATTTAGGAAGATTTCAAAGTTACGGGAAAGGTGAAATAGTACAATGGATGTCCACGTCTGCCAGATTCACAGGTTATGCTTACTTGCTCTTTCTCTCCACGCTCAACCTCCCCATACATAAATACACACGCGTGTGCACACCTTTTATGGCTAAACCATTTAAAAGTGAGTTGCAGACCTCAATGATACTTGATATCTAAATACTTGAGCATATATCACCTACCTTAACACAATACCCCCAAATTTAACACTGATACGGTCATGTTATCTAACAAGCATACCTCATTTTATTGCACTGCTTTATTGTGCTTCACAGATATAGTGTGTTTTTTCCCACAAAATGAAGGTTTGTGGCAATCCTGCATCGAGCAAGTCTATTGGCATTATTTTTCCAAGAGCATTTCAAACTTTTTCATTATTACTATATTTGTTATGGTGACTTGTGATAAGTGACCTTTGATGTTACTGTTGTAACGGTTTGGGGCCACTACAAACCACGCCCATATAAGACAGTGAACTTAATCTATAAATGTTGTGTGTGTTCTGACTGCTCCATCAACCAGCCATTCCCCTGTCTCCCTCCCTCTGCTCAGGCCTCCCTATCCCCTGAGACACAACAATATTAAAATCAGACCAATTAATAACCCTACAATGGCCTCTAAGTGTTCAAGTGAAAGGAAGAGTCACACCTCTCTCACTTTAAATCAAAAGCCAGAAATGATTAAGCTTAGTGAGGAAGGCATGTCGAAAGCTGAGAGAGGCCAAAAGCTAGGCCTCTTGCGCCAAACCATTAGCCAAGTTGTGAAGGCAAAGGAAAAGTTCTTGAAGGAAATTAAAAGTGCTCTCCAGTCAACTCATGAACGCGAAGAAAGCAAAACAGCCTTACTGCTGATACAGAGAAAGTTTTGATGATACGGAGAAAGTTTTGATGATCTGGATAGAAGATCAAACCAAATACAACATTCCCTTAAGCCAAAGCCTAATCCAGAGCAAGGCCCTAACCCTGTTCAATTCTGTGAAGGCTGAGAGAGGCGAGGAAGCTGCAGAAGAAAAGCTGGAAGCCAGCAGAGTTTGCTTCATAATGTTTAAAGAAAGAAGCTGTCTCCACAACATAAAAGTGCAAGGTGAAGCAGCAAGTGCTGATGTAGAAGCTGCAGCAAGTTATCCAGAAGATCCAGCTAGGATAATTAATGAAGGTGGCTACACTAAACAAGAGATTTTCAGTGTAGACGAAACAGCCTTATATTGGAAGAAGATGCCCTCTAGGACTTTCACAGCTAGAGAGAAGTCAATACCTGGCTCCAAAGTTTCAAAGGACAGGCTGACTCGCCTGTTAGGGGCTAATGCAGCTGGTGACTTTAAGTTGAAACCAATGCCCATTTACCATTCTGAAAATCCTAGGGCCCTTAAGAATTATGCTAAATCTACTCTGCCTGTGCTCTACAAATGGAACAACAAAGCCTGGATGACAGCACATCTGTTTACAACAGGGTTTGCTGAATATTTTAAGCCCACTGTTGAGACCTAGTGCTCAGAAATAAAAGATTCCTTTCAAAATATTATGCTCATTGACAGTGCACCTGGTCACCCAAGAGCTCTGATGGAGATGTACAGTAAGGTGAATGTTGTTTTCATGCCTGATAACACAACATCCATTCTGCAGCCCATGGATCAAGGAGTAATTTCAACTTTCAAGTCTCACTATGTGAGAAATACATTTCATAAGGCTATAGCCACCATACATAGTGATTCCTCTGATGGATCCGGGCAAAGTAAATTGAAAACCTTATGGAAAGGATTCACCATTCTAGATGCCATTAAGAACATTCACGATTTGTAGGAAGAAGCCAAAGCACCAACATTAAGAGGAGTTTGGAAGAAGTTGACTCCAACCCTCGTGGATGACTTTGAGAGGTTCAAGACTTCAGTGGAAGCAGTAACTGCAGATGTAGCAGAAACAGCAAGAGAACTAGAATTAGAAGTGGAGCCTGAAGATGTGACTGAATTGCTGCAATCTCTTGATCAAACTTAGATGAGGAGTTGCCTCTTACGTATGAGCAAATAAAGGGGTTTCCTGAGATGGAATCTACTCTTGGGGAGGATGCTGTGGAGATTGTTGAAATGACAATAAAGGATTTAGAATATTACATAAACTTAGTTGAAAAAGCTATGGCAGAGTTGGAGAGGACTGACTCCAATTTTGAAAGAAGTTCTATCGTTGATAAAATGCTATCAAACAGCATCGCATGCTCTAGTGAAATTGCGATAGCAATTTCACAATAGGAAGAGTCAATCGATGCAGCAAACTTCATTGTTGTCTTATTTTAAGAAATTGCCACAGCCCCCCCAACCTTCAGCAACCACCACCCTGCTCAGCAGCCAACAACATCGAGGCAAGACCCTCCACCAGCAAAAAGGTTATGACTCACTGAAGGCTCAGATGAAGGTAAGCATTTTTTAGCAATAAAGTATTTTTTAATTAAGGTATCTACATTTGTTTAGACATAATGCTGTTGCACTTAATAGACTACAGTATAGTGTAAACATAACTTTCATATGCACTGGGAAACCAGAGAATTCACGTAACTTGCTTTACTGCGATATTCGCTTTATTGTGGTAGTCTGGAACCGAACCCGCAATATCTCCGAGGTATGCCTGAATACAGTCCACATTCGAATTTCAACTGTTCACAAATGTCCTTTATTAAAGCTGTCCCCCCACCTCCCAGCCCAAACAGGACCCAGTCCAGGATCACACATGTACATTTAATTGTCCTATCTCTTAAGCCTCCTTTAATCTGGAACTGTCTCCCCAGCAGTTTTTGTCTTTTGTGACGTTGACATTTGGAAGCAATGTCTTGTCTAATGTCCCACATTCTGGATCTGATTGTTTCCTCATGCCAAAGACTTTTCCACTGGCAAACTCCCGTGTGTACGTGCACATGCCCACAGTCACAGATATCTGAAGAAGCCTTAAACTCCAGACTCTCTTGAAAATAAAAAACAAAAGAAAACAAAAAACAGACCATGTGGCAGCTCGGGCCATGTTCCTATGTGGCCACAGACAGCAGGGCTGAGGCGAAGCTACACCCCTCACCCCTGCCCCCAAATCCCTACACTCTGTGTGATGTGACAGGGGCTGCCTCATTCATCACATGACTGGCATGGTCACGACCCAGCCCAGGCCCCCAGGTGACAGAGGGTCCGGGTCCATGTGTGCTAGAGGCTCTCACTTCTCTGGGGACCTGAGAATTCCTGAAGCTCCATCAAGCTCCATCACAGGCAGAAACAGGCCCCATCTCTGCCCAAGGAGGTAGGTCGACACCTCCCCCTCTCCAAGTGTGGGCTAAGGAAGGGTGCCTTGTCATTCAAAATACCCCAGAGGCCATCTGGGCACCTGTCTAACTGCTTTCAGAATAACTTAGATGCTTCGAGTTCCACTGCACAGAGCATGCTCGGAATGCTGGCGACTCACCTCAGGGGACCTGGCCAACTTCTAACCGCAGTGGTCACCCCGCCAAATGAGACAAAATAAACTCGGATAACATCCAGGACTCCACGTTACTAAAATACCCCTTCACTTGATCTTTATTCTTAGACTATTTAATGCCGTTTCAAACTCAAAACTGTAAACACAGCACTCAGTCTATGTCCAAAAACTCAATAACCACAAAACGAAACCAAACATCACCAGAATTAGAGGCAGCACTCCCTAAACCAGCTGTTCTCTACCTGGAGAACTGAATCCGGGGAGGGTCACACCCAGCGCTGTCTCAGAGAAGAGACATTTTTCTACTCATCTCTGCAGTGTCCTTGTAGGTTTATGGGGCTGCTTCGGCTTTAAAGAGTTCGTTAAACCCTAATGTGAATAACGCAATAAATATTTTCCAGGTTGTCGAAGACATGCAAGGGCTTGATTTAGCAAATGAGCATGTCCAAACTGCCTGTTGTCTTCAAAGACATTTTCCACTTGAATCCACCCAACCAAGGAGAATGTGAAGGACTCACTTTTTGGGAGGCCAGGTACTCCATGCCTCTGGCCAACTGGTAGGTGCAGGACACCAAGTCCTTGAAGGTCATCTGCTCCTCGGGAACACGGTTAATGTCATAGGAGTACTCCATCCCAGGCGGCCTCCGGGCTCGGAGGTATTCACGGAGGTTACCTTTCGAGGCATACTCAACTATGACGTAGAGGGGGCCTATTGACGGAGAAGACAAGCTTGCTAAGTCAGTGAACCCAGGATCTCCCCTCGGCCAGCTCAATAAAGCAGTTTTACTTATCACAACCTAGTAATTTATTTTTTTACTTATTTAAACATACAGAAAATCATACACAAAAATATAACACCTACATTCTAATCTCCTCAAAATGATAACCGACACCTGCTCAAGACAGTCTCAAAAGTCTTTAAGAAATAAAACAGAGACACGGTGAGCATCCTTCCCCTCTCACTCCCATTCTCTCACCTATGCCCTCTTAGAAAGCAATGGCTATCACAAATTTGCTCCTTCCAGTTCCTTTTAACTATTTTACCTATATATATGTATCAACAAACAATATATTATTTTTAATCACATAAATGAATAATAAAGATAAAGCTCTGCCTCATTCTTCCCCTACATATTATCCTTGTAGAAGCCAGTTAGGCTGATAAAAATAAATCTAGATCTGAGGCCTGCCCGGTGGATTGTGGTTAAGTTCGTGTGCTCCACTTTGGTGGCCCGGGGTTTGCAGATTTGGATCCCAGGCACGGACCTACACAGTGCTCATCAAGCCATGCTGTGGCAGCATCCCACATACAAAATAGAGGAAGATGGGCACAGATGTTAGCTCAGGGCCAATGCTCCTCACCAAAATAAATTAATAAATAAATCTAGATCATTCCTTTTATCAGCTACACATATTCTGTAATATAAATACAGCCCAGTTTATTGATTCAGCCCCTATACTCGTGGGCATTTACATTGCTTCCAGGTTTGGGCCATAACAGTGTGCAATGAACATTCCTGTGCATGTTTCCTTACCCACTTGTGCAATCAGTTCTCCATGGTATAGACAAGGGGTTGGCGAACTACAACCCGAGGGCCAAATTCCGCCCACTGCCTGTCTTTGTAATTAATTTTACGGGCACACGGCCAGCTCCGTTCACGTCTGTATTGTCTGTGGCTGCTTTCTCACTACAACAGCAGAGACGAGCAGTTGCCACAAAGACCGTAAGGCCCACAAAACTGAAAACATTCACAATCACCCTTTACAGAACAAGTCTCCCGACTCCTGGTACAGACCTAAAAGGGAAATTGCTGAGGCAGAAACATAGGCATTTTCAAGTTTATTAATTATCATCAAACTGATTAGCTACCCAATGAGAGAAGGCAGGGGTCTCTCTCCCCTAAGGAAGATGACGTATCCCTTCACACTACTTTCTCTTCCTGAAGCTATTCTTGGGAGCCCAGCCACTTGCTGCCCACAGCAGGACATGGCTCCCTCAATCCCCATTTTGTCAACCAAAACATAGGATCTTATTTTGAGAAATCCCTCTTAACACTTACAAAACAAAAACAGAAGGAGACTGCCTTTTCCAAACACCCTCCAGGTTATGACCTAACCAGCAGGACCCTATAGGCCCTCATCCAAAGTCGCCCAACGCCCACCTTGCCCCAGTCCCCTAGGTATGGTTACCAAGTCCCCTTTACGTTCATGGCCGGGAACACCCTCCCAAGGGGATTTTAAAGAGAACTTTAAACATGTACTCAAGGCGCCCTAGGAGCAAGATCCAAAATCCCACCGTTTCTAAAATGATACTAACATTGAGCTGCAGATTATTTGAATGAAAGCATTTCTTCCTCTTACTTACCATCCTGAGTACAGGCTCCGAGAAGATTTATGATATTTTTGTGTTTTCCAATCATTTTCATCATCTCCATCTCTGATACCAGATCAGAAAGGTCCTTCTCTGTGGCATCATCTATGAAGATTAGCTACATTAAAAATCAGTTCATTTCCTCTAACCTGTTGGTTGCCACTGCTAGTTGCTGAAAACTTAGTTGAAACAGCATGAAATTGAATTTTAGAACCAGAAAGGACTTTCCAAATCATCTCCCCCATTTTATTGGTGAGGGGGCAAAGGCCCAGATGGGGAATTACCTTGCTCCCTGTTAAACAGCTAATTTGGGGTCAACAGGGTGAAAAGTCAGGACTAGAACACAGGCTTCTGACGCTAAGGCCACTTCTTTTCCAGCAAACCTCACAAACGTGGGGGTGTTTGACTCTACTGGGAAATAATTCCATCCTCTGGCAGATCTAAGGTGCCTGAGAAAACCACATCAAACTTCACAGTGCCTGAAAGCAAGTCTGGGGACATCAGAGAGGAGGAGGAGGCTGGGGGCATCACATCACCACAGACTTCTCCAGAGCAAGTGTGCTAACGCCAGCCCTTGTAGCCCTTAGAGCATTCAGACTGGGCACCCTCTAACTGTGTACAAAAGTGTGTGTGCATGTGCATTTTGAGCAGGTGAAAGTCGGTGCCTTCTTTGGGCTTCTCAAAGTGGGCTGTGATTCTCATCCTAAAAAAATAAAAGTTTTATAAACTTCTGCTCTAAAATTTCAAGCAAGAATGGCTTAGGTTCTGCAAACATGGGCTTACAGTTAGCTGTGCCCCTCTTCAAGCTAATTCAAAATGGAAAAATCTGGACTTAGTAAAAAAATGAAATAAGGGCATGTATAGGAGCCATGTTGCAAAGAGCTTTTTAGCTTCACAAAAGGAAGAGCGATACAATTGACTGGAGCGGAAAATCCACACTGACGTGCTTGGAGGACTGAGCTCCTGCCGTGCGGGGAAAGGGGGCACGTGTGTGAGCACACTGCTCAGGGAGTTCTCCTCCAGGCTCGGGGCCACCCTCTGGCCGTAAAAAAGGACACTGCACAAGGGCTCTGGGCTAACGTCCGTCTCCGTCCTGAGAGGGAAGGCCAGCCTGGGCATAACCAGTGATAGAACGCCCAGAGCTCCCTTTCTGCGATAAACCCAGGTAACCCGGAGCTCATAACCCAAATCAGAAGTTCTGCCGAAAGAGACTCCAAGTTTGGGCCTTCCCCACACAGCCCAGCACACCTGCCACACAGGAGAGCACCCACGGCAGGCCCAGGCCATGCAGGACACAAGCCGGGAGGCTGCCTCTGTTGGTGGAGCCGAGATGCACGGGGTGAGAGGGCACAGTCCTCCCTGGCGGCAGACTCCAAGGTGGGGAGCAGCTTAAAACACCCTACTTTTCCTTGGGGGCCATTCAGATCAATAGCTACAAAAAAATCACCATCTTTTTGACTATTTCCACCCGCGACTTCCTCTCGGGGACGAGAGGAAGTGTTAACTTCCACGAGTTCCATGAGAACTCGCGAAGTGTTAACTCCTGGAGTGCCCTCGATGTGTCAGGCACCCCACATCCCGAGAACAGACCTCTCTGCCTCGACACGTGGGAAAAACTCAGCTTGGGATGTCTTTCTGAGATCCCTACAACAGGATATATAATGTGACCGTTTCCTATAACTCTTCTCATAAAAGAATACTGCGAGAAAAAGAAGTTAATGGTTAAAAGCTCTTTAAGCTCCCTGGACACAGGCATGAAGCAGGTTAATGTAGAAATGTTCAGATTCCCACGAACGCCACTCGATGTTTGTATCTTGGGGTAATTGTTTATATGTTCCAGAAGGTTCTGCCCCAGCACCAAGCCTGGTAGGTCCCTTTTAGCTGTCTCTCCTACACCAGTGTCATTTCTACTTTGTTCCTTTTGCAAATGAGAAGATGTGGCCTCTTCTCCCTATGCCGCCTTGTTCCCTCCAAAAATGCCAATTTTCCTTTATTTGTGAGTTAAGCTTTGGGTCCGGAATCCAATATACCAACACTTGTCTAAATTAATCAGTGATGTGCAACATGATACTTTCTAAGCACATACAAATATAGAGAAAACAAAGAATCACAGTCATCCCCAAGAAGTCGAAAAATAACATAGTCTAGAAGGCTTCCTAACAAAACCGGCTTTTCTTTTTTATAAGTGCACACAGCTCAAGATAAATAGTCTGTCCAAGATGCTGATTTATACTGAAAACTTCTCAACCCCCGGGTCAACTATGTGCTCTCTGACCCCCTGCCATGATAGAGTTCACATGCCACAAAAGGAACATTCTTGATAAGACTTTCCACCCTCCTCCCACCCCCACCTATCCCCCTCCCCACTCACCTTTCAACATCTTCACGGCCACAGTGACTGCTTCCTTGGGCTTCTCTTTGTCGATTCCCACTGCTTCAGCCATGACCACTTGCCCAAAGCAACCTTCCCCCAGAGGTTTGCCCAGCGTCAGCCTAAATGTGTAAACAGGGGATTAGTGCACAGCATCTGGTGAAGGGGTGTAGCGAGGGACATTCCAGAACCAAATATAAAAATCTTTCAGCGGCCTGCATAAGCATGGAGCATTTATCATATGGAACTAATGAGACGGGGTACACACGTGCTTGAGTATTTTCTTAGTGACGTCTTAGAGAATGTCAATTACTGGTGGAACAGCTATTAAATTTCACATTTGTATTCTCGATTTATTTTCTTTATGGACAGTATCCTTGCTAGTGAGGCGGTCGGCTTTCCTAAGTGCTAACAATGAGGAGCTTTTGATCTTGAGCCAATCGAATATTTGTAATTTAGAATGTCTCAAAGAAAACCTTAAAGCTGTTCTTATTTTTTGTCTCTGTTAAGAGATGTCTCTAAAATCAGTATTATTCAAATACCAATGGATTTTATGGTCACATTCCTGACCAAGTTACACGATATAAATTGTAAAGGCATTTCAAGGAATCTCTAATTCTTGAGTAAAGGAAAAAGAAAATTCTAGAAATTGGGGGGAACTTTTTTGGATGTAACAGTTTATAAAGCCTTATAACTATCCAGAATTAATAATGAAGAAACTCCAAAGTGAACATAAACTAAATTTCTAAGCCCAGGAATTCTAAGTACATCATACGAATAGTCACATATCCTCCTTGGGCATTCCAGAAACCAACAGACTGGAGAAGTCTTTGGAATACTTATGAATGTGGTTTTTTCACTTAAGCATAATACAGCAAAGAACTGAGCTGCCATTAGTACACAGTATTTATGGCACGTACACAATGGTTTGCAAAAGCTAAGCAAAGATTGTGGTCAGCATATGCTATGCTGAGGTCATTTGCTTCTATCCAGAACTAAAATTAAATTTAATATCTTGGCAGAAAATAAACATTTGCATTGGAAAAATGGTTAATTTATGTCCTATTGCCCCGCTACTCCAAGCATAACAATCCTTTCTTTGTATAACTTCTGCCTCCGATCTAATAAACTGCTTCTAAATAGCCTTCATTCATTGGAAATCTGCTCCACCTACGTTTGTGCTAAAAACACTGTTTTGAAATGCTTAGCACTCAGATTTTCCGCACTCAGGGTACCCCCGGGTGGGAGCTAACAGTTCGGCACATACAGACTCCCACTGTTGACTGCTGACTGCGGGTGTCACAGGTGGCAAAAACTAGGGACTGAACCTGAGAGCCGCAGTTTCTTAAAATATGATCACAGCTCCCCAAGTCAGTCCTATATACATAGGAATGTGCACGTGAACCCACCTACTTGTATAACCAAACCAGGGAGCTGGGAGGGCTCATGAGAAACACCCCCTTTCTCTCTCTACATTCTACAGGTAAAGAAACCATTCTTTGTGTTTTCTCTGGCGCCTCCCCAGTAAATGTTCAGTAAACAAGTCCTGAAAGAATGAATGAATGAATGGTCTTTTTACTATACTATACAAATGAGCTGGAAATTACTTGCATTAACACTAAGAGAATGATATCTGTACAATTATTTGGCTCTAATTTACAGTGCACATTAATAGCTCTAAATTGGCTGTTGGGAAACAAAACTGGTTGGAGTCATGTGAATCAAGATTACAAGCGCTGTGTAAGCTACCTCTCCGTCCCAGTAGAGCTCGTCATATTCAGTCTCTGGAAGAGCTTATCTGTGTATTTCCAAATTTGAGTATAGTTCTTTCTATAGTAACTAAACACTTCTCCGACAATGTCAGGGAGATACTGCAGATGTCAAGACAAATAGGCTAGCTATACAAAAGCCAGTCAAGAGTTTATTCCAGTTGATTTGACGCAGATGTATAGTCAGTGACTTCCACCTTCCATTACTCTCAAGCTATTCGGACTCTAATTACTATAAGAGGTACCCCAGAAGCAGGCTGACGGCCCTTCAGCGACCACCATACTTCACTTCTAAAGGTGGGTCTGGGGGTTGGTCCCTGCCTAGAAGATGGAGGGCTGGTAGCCCAAGATCTGTCCCCCTGACTTCACCTAGGCACCACTATCTTGCTGAGGTTCACAGTTCAGGGCTCCCAAGTTACCAATACATGTAGGGAAACGGAAGGGAGGGAAACTCACATGAGCCAAGAATTGTGCTCGGTACTGAGAGGTCTGTACCTTCATTTTATAGTAATGAAGTTCAGAGCATCAGGTAACTCACACAAGGTTGCCCAGCCACTGGCTAGCAGAGGCAGAATTCAAATCCAGCCCGACAGAGCCCGAAGTACATGGACTTGAAGCCAGACCAAGAGAGAGCTCCTGACCGTGCCCTCACCAGAGCCCAGCTGGTCATGCTTTCACTGAACATCTGATTGGAACACCTCTATGTCACCCAATAAGGAAAATATTAAGGGCCACAGGAAATTCGATGTCAGGACCATATTTGAAGCTTTTTTGCCCAATATTACATTAATAAACATTAAAAAACAGCAACATTGAGTACAGATTATTAAGGTAATTTATATTCTACACCTAATTTCTCCAAAGAAATGAACTACAGAAGAGTCATGTTCTAGTGACCAGAAGCTGGAATGTCAGATCTGTTTTTTAAATGGGATAATTCCACTTTCATTCCATTTGACTGGGTTTGAATTGTCTAGAAAGTAAAAAAAAAATGCTGACAAGGTACCATCTTGTTTGGGGACCAGCTATGGCTTAGTAGCTCTGATTTAAAAGAACTACTAAAGAGAGAGAGAGAGACAATCAATTCTTTTCTTTTCCAGGAGTTGGTTATTTAGAAATACAATCTCACTCACTCCTACTGACATCATCAGAGCAAGATCTTTGCAGTTAAGGGTCATAAAAAGAAACTGTCAATCCAATATCCCTGTTTAGACCTAAGCCTCCACCCAGGGATGTGCCCAATAGAAGTACTCACTTATCTCTTGGAAACTCCCATTTTGGATCTTCCGGCAGTTCGTACTCAGAGACCCCTGCCAGCATGGGGGTATCTGCTGTTGAGGAGAGGCGTGTTGTTATCCTCACCAGCGGGGTGTTGGAGTTCATGGAGGAGCTGGACTCGGCAGAAACCTGGATACAAAATGCAAAGACACAGATGTAATCCTGGCCCCACCTGAGAAGACTGGAAGGCAGCCAGAGCCCAGCCAGAGGGTCAACTCTTACAAAGGAAGAAAAGTGGAGGCTTGTCAAACTCATGGATGTAGGACCAAATCCATTGGATTCCAACTCCTCTGTCTTCCCATCTATGCAGTACTAGATTTCATCTAAATTATATGTTCCTAAGACCAGATTTTCAAACAACATTTTTAGACAGTGCCTTATCAAAATGTAAATCTTTCTGTCTTAACTCCTCAAGACAGTCACTTGAGGACACAGAGATAGACCCCACAGGCTTCATTATCGTCTTTTTGCTCTATCTGTACCGGAGTCCCAAATAATCAATATCACCATAGACCAGCTCAGATCATGTATCAATTCTTTGCTTATGAAATTCCATAAAAACTTATGAACAATCAGCCCTTCAATATTTTTTCTGTCCTTTGAAATGTAAAGCAGGATATCCCAAGGAACCTGCTCTAGGATTTGAATGTGAGAGGCATCCCAGTAGCTCCAAGTGCCTTTATTCAAAGGAACCTGAGCCCCAGGCACCTGGGGCCATTCTCCGCTTCTCGCCAGTCCATCTGGGAACCGGTTGATGCCCAGGCCATTCGGTAAAAATCAACTGCCTCTCGTCAACTTTGGTTTCAGAAACTAGTGGATTGAACATGGGGGACAAAGAGTCAAACACATCTTTCTTCACAATCACAGGGGAAGTTCCTCTCCCACCCGGCAGCGTGCAAGGCTTCAGTGAGTTTTCTCGTTTCCCCTCTGTCTGCATCTGATAAAATGGTTATTTCTTAAATATAACGTCTTCTCTTTGCTGGTTTCTGTGAAGGAAAACGTGTGCAGAGCCCACTTGAAGGCCACTGCTGAGGAGTACTACACAGTCTTGGCCCAGCCATGGGCTGCTTGAACACCACCTTCTCCTAAATCATAAACAAGACTTTGGCCCAAGAGAGTTGGATTATGGGGTTAAACAGGACCCGTCCATGCAGCCCACCTGCCACCTCCGTTCTGTCCCCTGCATGACTCCCCAGGTCAACCATACTCCCCAGCAGTGCTTACAAACGCCTTTTAAATCAGGGAGGCAAAGACCAAGTGCAGGTGAACCAATTTAGCAGGGATGAACTTGCACAGGGTGGAGCTTGGACCATTCCCACAGGGAACCAAAGACCTACACTTCCCAGGGAACATCCTATTCAGAAAGCCTTGATTCTTTCCTTTGGAAACCCAGATTGCCCTTAATGCAGGTGGGAAACCCAAGAAGATGCCCAAGAACAGATTGAGGGGGGAAAAAAATCATTTTTTGAATAGGAAGTTGGGAAAAAATCAATTTAAGAATAGGAAGTTGGTTTCAGTTTTAAATAAGAAGGAGGCAACTTTTAACACAGAATTTCTACTATCTTTTAAAATGTACACGAGTACATTTCTGAGACTTCTGAGAGGTCTTTGGCGGGGGAGTTATTCCTAAATTTTATCATGCAGATAGTATGAGAAATGTTTATTCATTGTTAGCATCATAAACAAAAGCTTTTTCAAAAAGAAACTGAGGAATCGTTAATTTTGGAGCTGAGAGGTGTCATGGACAAACTAGGCTCCAAGAGGCTGAGGCCTCACACCAAAGTGTCTGGGCCGCAGAAGCAAATGGCAGAAGCAAGGAGGAAGAGAGAAGAAGGTAAATGTGTGAACACCTATGGAATTCACCTCTGCGCCCCACTAATGATACAGATGAGGCAGGGGCCCCACCTTGGCCAAACAGACAACAACTTCAAAGACCCCATCCATAGACTCCACATGGGGCCCAATTCACTGGTAATGCACTGACATTGGCCGCAGGAGCCCTCAGAAACCAGGATCTTTCAGAACATTATCAGGATCTCCACATTCCCCACTGACCACATAACCATCGTGAGCTCCATCCACAAGGAAGGGCTCAGAAAGATTCGGGAATGGGTTTGGCCAAAGATGCTTCCCAAAATCTTAATGTTCTGCATCAGGGCCACGTGCTATGGATGCAAAAGGAGGCTGGTGTTTTCAAAGACAAAAATCTAGAAGATGCTCCCACAAGAAGAGGCAAAAATCACCGCTCACTGTAGTGAGAACTTGTGCTTGAAGATCACAAGCAAGAAGATTCAGAAAACCAGTACAAGTTAGCCTCCCAGGGAGAAAATACAAACCCCAAGTGGCCAAGGTCCGGTAGATTTCACAGCCAGAATAGCCCCTGCAAGTCCAGCAGCATAGCCCATCTCCACTGGACTCGCAGGGCTTCCAGAAATCCATGATCAATGCATGGCGTGCTGTGACCAATGGAGAGGAGGAGGAACCAACGGGGGCACAGTTCTGGGTGAAGAGGTATGTCCCTCTTCCCTGCCTTGTTCTCACAAATCACCACTCTCATCAGGGAGCTGACAGAACATGATGTGGGAAGGCCGCCTTCTTTCCCATGGTGAGGTATGAGAACACAGGATTTAAAAAAAGTTTCAGGAAGGATATATAAGAGACAGCAGTGGCCACCTCGGGAGAGAGAGATTAGGGGTTGAGGGAGAGAGTAGAAAAAGTCTTATTTCAGAACTTTCTAAACCATTTGAATTTCATTATCATGTATATGTATCTCTTTTACATTTAGAAAATGTATTTTTTCTAACAATAAAAATATTTTTTAGGGGCCAGCCCGTTGACATAGTGGTTAATTCACGCACTCCACTTCAGCGGCCCAGGGTTTATGGGTTCAGATCCCAGGCACGGACCTACACACTGCTCATCAAGCCATGCTGTGGTGGCATCCCATATACAAAGTAGAGGAAGATGGGCACAGATGTTAAAATGACGAAATCCTTGCTTTCACCCCTTCCCTGAGCCACCAGGCTGAGTTTTGCAGTATCTCTGCATCATCCCATGCAGGTACCCCAGTGACTGCCCCCAGTCAAGCAGCCAACCCTAGTTGGTGCCCTTCCTCTGCTAATTGTTGATGATGTAGGCCTCCTCGTAGGGTGGCAGCATCCTGACCAACTGCATCAATGTGGGGCTGTGTGGTCCAACTGTCGGGTCCACATCCCAGTTCTGACTCTCGCTAACTGTGAGAGCTTCACGAAGACATCTAACCTTCCTAAACTCGAGTTAAAGGAGACAGGAACAGTTCCTACCCCACAAAAGTTACTGGGAGGCTGAACCCATAAAGTGTGTAGTGCTGAGCCTCGCACCTGCTAAGAACTCAGTTAATATCTGCTACCCACACCACAATCGTTTCTCTTAGCACCTTTTTAGAATCATTTGCAGCCCAGATCCAAGGAAGCTTATAATGGGCACCTTCTCTGGGGAACCCAGAGCATTTGGAGCCTAGGGCTGTTCTGTGTGTGAGATGCTGTCACAGTGCATGCAAAGGGATGAAAGTAAGCCTGCCGGGGTCAGGGACTGACTGCAGAACAGGATATGCTTTACTGTGTTTGGAAGGTGAGACCCTCTGCTCTCAGCCAGAATGGGCTGGGGCTCCAGCGAGCAGAAGAACAAACCCAAGAAATATAGGATCCTAGAGTCAGAAGGCAGTCCCAGGGCAGGAGGAAAGCTGGAGCGTAAAAACGTCCTCTTGACAAATATGGCTTACAAGCTGCTTAGGAACAGAACAACATTAGTCAGAAGTCAACCGTTCTGCAGCTGACCTAGGACCCAAAAGGAACCTTTGCCCACAAACCTGTGGCAGAAGTTCACATTCATACACGTCTTCCCCCAGAGTGTTTCAACAAGGTTTCAATGTGAAAGCTTTTAACATGGAAAACCTTCACAAACTTTGTTGCTGTGATTAACATAAAAAAAAATTGTGTTTACAAAAAGGATTACTTATGGAAATTTTGTTGAGATTAAGTGTAGAGGTTTAGAGTTAATGTACAGATCTGGAAAATACTTCTGTAAAAAACAGAAAAGGAAAAAAGGTAAGAAAACGCCAAAAGTATAAGAAACTACAAAAGTCAATTGCTCTGTCTATGGAGGTATATCTTAATTTTACCTCCATGCATTTTTACTATGCTTTTAAAATCCCCTCCGGGACTGTAAAATATGACTGGCTTTCTCTTCACTCCGCTTTACTCCCAGAGCTAACGTGTTTCCAGGGCTTGGCACGATCCCTCACAGGCGATTCCACCGTGAACACCAAGCTTCCTTCCCCCAGATCCCGCCCCTCCAGTAATTCCCACTGCCCACCTTTGAATCCTTTTACTAATTTACTATTAGATTATCACTTTTTTTCCCGCAGAAAATCATAATCTCCCCTATCATATATTCTTTTTCAATTCCAGGGTTTCCTTTTTTATCTAATTCAAAAATATTCCACTGACAGTGATGATTACATTATTTATAAACAATAAATGCTAACACTCTAATAAACTGTCTTCCACTCCCAAAGCCTGGTGGGCACTTTTTAGCGCGTATTTTCAGTCTCCAATTCAGCTTCCTCACTTTCCAGAATCTCTTTCCCATGCATCATAAATCAAGCTTTTGACTAAATGTGCTGTCTGTATATTTCCACAATACATATGGGAGATTAAGCATGGAGGTAGGTTTTTTCCTTTTCTTTTTAAAGGGCCACCAAGAAATGGTGTTATCTCTTTATACTAGATTAGACTGAACAACCAGGGGACCTCAGAAAAGCAGGCAGAAACAAAGATGTCACAGAGAGAGGGATGAATATTTGTGTTTATTCCTGAGGACTACAAACACCCGAGACCACAGCCAGCTAGAGAAACCCGCTGACTCCCAGGCTGTGGTTTCACGCTCCCAAACCAGAACATAAGGCTCCAGAGTTAATATACTTTTGCTCCAAGCCCTGCCCACCACTCCCCGATGGCCAAACAAAATGCTTTCACCACCTCAAACCAGGTGGCTGAGACAAAAGGTTCAAGGGGTTTCTGGGGTTGGATGTATTTTTTTCCCCTCCATAATGAAATTTAGGTAATTAGGCAAGGTAGTTTATCAGATACTCGCTTTTCTCCCTTACCAAGTCTCCACCTCCCCCCACATCCTCCCAGGACTCTAGGAGTAAACCTATGAGAGCAATGGCTCACCAGTCCCGGACGGGCTGGTTCTTCCTGGAAGATCGCATCAGGCAAAACGCAAGTCAGATCTTAGTCAAACTGTCCTGTCGTTTGGAGGCTGAGAGGAGAGGACGGCCAAACAGAGGCCGGGGAGGGAGGGACCCTCACACGAAAGGGCAGATTCCAGTTAAGCCAACCATGACCACTCTAATTACCCAAATGTTTTCTGGAACCAGTGAGGTTTCATTAGACCTCTTGATTGACCGAAATATGGAGAATGTTCCGAGATCACGCTGTTTAGCTGCTAGGTAGTAAATGAGCTTCTAGAAGTGGAACGTCCCTTCCCGGAATCTGGGGTGTTTAATAACCATTAATACATGGCCCCAAGAGCTGGCTCCTGAATCATACACACCTGCCTCCCCGATCTTCGCCCTGTTCATGACATCCCTGGGAACATGCCATTTGCCTCAAAGATGTTGTTATAAAACATGACCTTGATTGCCCTTGACTTTTCTCCGGTTTTCAATCTACCGGTATCAGCAACCAAGAGGGTGAAACTAAAGACTGAGAAAAAATAGCCTGCAGCCCCTTCTGAGATGCTGATGGTGGTGGGAGAGAGTAGGCGCTGCACGCACGTGTGCATCTCCCCACGCTAGCTGTTTATGGAGACAGCTAAATCTCCATCCTGCCCTATGGAAACTGCTAGCACCAGAAAAAGAACCTAACGTACTCACTTTCTGAAAAACCGATTCAACAAACCCAGCACCACAAGCCTCCTGAACGCCCCCCCGCCCCGCCCCCGCCCAACTGATTTGTGCAAAACACGGACAGTGGAGCCCCCTCTTTAACTCGTGCATGTGCAAAGGCTGCTTCACAATGACCACGCTGTCCACTGGCGGCCCTGGAGACCTGTGTGAGAGCTGACAAGCTCACAAAGACACTTGACTGACAAACACCCCAGGACCACAGCCAGCCAGAGAAACCCTCTGACTCTGGCTGGTCCCCCTTTAACACGGTGGATGTGAAAGGAGTAGGAGCAGGTAAGCAAGTGCCTGACAGAGTGGCCGAGCACCCAGCACTGAATGTGGGGTTACCCCTGTCAAGCGAAACAGGGAGAAGCCCCGTGTCACCCACCTTCCTTCACCAAAAAGTTGTTTCTCTTTTCTCAAGCATCATAGCGCACACAGAGTCTCAAAAATTCATGGTTACTGGGAAATGATCAAGATTTCTTCTTAGGTACTGGAGAAAAATATTTTTGTCTCGGAAAAAAACAACAAACTGAAATGTCTGTCTTACACCAGTAAGTCCAGTACGGATTAGTAAATGTCAAGAAGGAAAAACTCACAATGGGATTAAAAAAAAACAACTTCTCTTGTTCTAAAAGGAGAACAATGACTGAGTTGAGTAAAATGCTGTGTGTATGCAAGTCAGGGAGGGGGGAGGATAGGGCCAAGAAGATAAAATTCAGACTCCATCACGAAGACACCGAATGCTACCTGGGCACAGAGGAGGTTGGGCAAACACAGCGTGAAAAGTGGCCTCGTAAATGCCTGGGAACAACTCATCCTTAAGACATCTGATTACAGGCTCACCTGTCGCCAGGTAAAGGCATGCTTGGCATCCCTGTGGTATTTTCTCTGTCATCAACATATCTGCTGGCCTTTCTGGGACTTTTCATTCCAGCTACAGTCCAATAACTCCCTTTTTTCCAGATACCTGATAGGCATCTCCTCTAGCAAAGGGGCCGTGCTCACTGACGAAACGCTCTTTGTGAAATGAGCATTTGTGAAATGCGTCCCATTTTGACATATATGAAGAGCAGAGGTATATCGGCATTCCCCCAAAAAAATCAATCTCCCAGAGATTTATTTTTCAGGGGACTGGTATTTGCCCACTTTCTCTGCTTCCCTTATACTACTTGACCCTACTGAAACACAAGGCAATTACATTTCAAATGCAGGCCCCCAAAAACCCTGGAGCCACTGGCAAATGTGACAGGCCACGTCTTCCACGGAACCTGGGTTAGACCAAGTCCTCAGAAAATCATGATGAAGGGAGGAAGGAGGGAGGGAGAAAAACAGGAGGAAGAACCCTAATGTCCCCTTCAGTTACACAGGGCAGTAGAGGAAAAATTACCAACTTAGGTGGATGCGGACAATGAAGAAAAGCCAGTCAGCCAGAAAGAAACGAAAACATGATGACTAGGGTTGAGTCAAGGGGATTTTGAAGGCATCTGCCTCTTTCATATTAAATAAAAAGAAGAGCTTGCAACATTTGCAGAAAAAAAGAGGAGGAAATAATTATGGGACAACGGTCTAGCTACACCAAATTACAAGTTTCCCCTAGAAGGTAGCATTTTTCCCTATTAAAAAAAAAAATAGGGGCTGGCCTGGTGGCATAGTGGTTAAGTTCACGAGCTCCGCTTCATTGGCCCTGGGTTCACAGGTTCGGATCCCGGGCGTGGACCTACATACTGCTCATCAAGCCGTGCTGGGCCGGTGTCCCACATACAAAATGGAGGAAGACTGGCATAGATGTTAGCGCGGCAACAATCCTCCTCAAGCAAAAAGAGGAAGATTGGCAACGGATGTTAGCTCAGGGCCAATCTTCCTCCCTGAAAAAAAAAAAAATACTAATAATAGAGACGGGAACATCAGTCCCTTTTTCAACTCCCTGGGGCCAGGTTCTCAAGACAGTGCTATAAGAACGGCCCAGAGGGGGCCGGCCCAGCGGCGTAGTGGTTAAGTGCACGCGCTCTGCTGTTGGCGGCCCGGGTTCGGATCCCAGGCATGCACCGACGCAC